CACATTTGTTAGCATTGTAAGTATTTTATGATAATATTCATTCTTTAAAGAAAAAAAAACTCCCTTATACTTATAAAATCATTTATTATCATTTTTATTTTAAAGCCTAAACTTCTTGCGACATATTTTGCTCCATTCCGTCTCATTACCGGTTTTTGCACTCAAGTCTGGTCATCAGAACAATTAATAGGTGAAATTAAAAAAACTCCAATTTTATTTCTTACAGGTGGTAATGATAAGGTAGTACCTCAAGAACATACAAAAATTTTATATGAATTGACTAAAACAGAAGGTGGTAAAGTATGGGAAAAATTTCCAAAGGGTAAACATAGTGATACAATTAGTCAACCTGGTTTCTTTGAAGCTATTGAAATATTTTTATCGAAAGTTACTCAAAAATAGCATCGATTTATTATAAATTTTATGTGTAAAGAATATATAAATTTTATATATAAAGGATAGATTATATACTGTATAAAGGAATAGTTGTATTTTGTACAATTTACTTTACATCTATATACTAATTGTGGATATTTTATAAATCTTATTTTTACTATGTAATATTGATATATCTGGTGAAAAATGTATAAAATTTATTATACGCTCATCAATTCAAATAATGTATAATTACTGTAATTGGTTTATTAATCTAACGCTGTCCTAAAAAAAATCGAAAAGATGTGTATTTAAACTTTAATAGTTAAGATTAAAAAGTAGAGTTAAAATTAGAATGTTAAGTCTACCAAAAAGGTTGGTTCCGAACTACTAGTTCATTATTCTAGTCCGAAATCAGTCCAATCATATTTATTTTTAATGAATTGTAATTTAATTATAGTAAGACCAGATTATTTGTTTTTGTTGATATTGATTTTTGAACCTATTTTATGAAATTTTAAAAATTTTTAGAGCCTTTTGTGTAGGATTTTTTTTTTATGATTAGAGGGTTAGAGTTGTTAATAAAAGAGTATCGGTATATGTGGATTTTAGCAGGTTTAATAGATTCAAATTAAGACCCCAGCATCATCCGCGATATTAAATAAATAAAATTATAGATATCAACTCTTTTTGCTAATCTTTATACTTTTT